TCGAGGAGACATGAACTAAGTGCAATGTGATAGTATTCTATTCTTTTCCCTTGTCTATCTTGGGTTCTTGTATTTTTTGCTTGGAGTTGAGTTTGAACCTATTTGTTGATGTTATAAGATATTAGTTCAACTTTCAAATTTTCCTGTGTAAGAAGTAGCCAAATAATCCTATTGTGATCGTCAATGAATGGGATGCCATCTAGAGCCAGTGATGTTGTTAACTCTAAATGATCCCCCAATGTCATTATGAATCATGGAAAAAAGTTTCTGCAATAAAGAAGTTCAGGAGAGTTTACTAAATCACTATCTGCAGTACCTCTATTCTTTGCTTAAAGAACTTCACACTACAGTAGTCTGATCCTCGACTTTGATGTTGTTTGCACAACTGTTTCTTTCTTGAGTAGACTTACAATCTACCGGTTTTTTTCCATGTATTCCCTAGTAAGCATCTTTTGCGTGCCCTTTTTTTCAACAATGCTACACGTAGGATGTGTTTTATTGTCATTAAAGGCTGGTTGCGTGCCATGAATAGTAAGTGTTAAATTCATCATGAAGAATGGAGCATACAAGGGTTCCAGCATGAATTTTCTCCCACTCTCCTCTCTCTAGATCTTAGAAAAAGCTTCATGAACATTTGGTAGAGGCGTCATGTTAAAAAGATTCTTCCTTCTACATCCACCAGATATTTATTCAAGCCAAAGTGAATTTAAAAGATTCTCTCTTTTTCTTCAAATTTATGGTTTTTCTACAAAAAATGATATTTAAAAAATATTTTTTCATAAAATGTTTAAGACATGTGTCGGATGTATGAGTCCAATTTATTTTTAATATTTTTTAATCAGACACTTTTGTAGCACGTGTCGGATGCATGTCGTGTTTGATACGTGTTGGACATTATATACCTCTTTGATAAGAAGTGTGGGTGCATCATAGTTGCTTACCATTGTCTGGGGATTTTCATTCCAACTCAAAAATATCAATTTTTTGCCATACTAAGGCTGCGCTTTGAAATATTTTGTGATAGATTTTTCACCTTGCCTTGGATTTTTGTAAACTCTCTTGATCTCAAATATGACAGAGGTATTATAATAGGTTTTCAGATAGCCTCCCAAATCTCCTTGGTTATCTTGTGATATATGAAAATTTCACCAGTTTTCATAGTCATGGAGTTGCTAAGCAATAACATAACCATGTTGTTTCTTAGCTTTCACGTTCCATGGGTTGTCATCTTCAGATGGGCAATAACGCCTGTCACATAGTTTTCTTCCCTTTTCCAATATTGAAGATTATCACAGATTGTGATCACGGGATGAAATCTCTGTTTAAAATTGCGCAATTAATCTGCGCAATTCCTCCCAAAAATGCCTCGGAACCTACGCAATTCCACCTCTGTAAGAGGCGTACGCCTCACTGGGACTGAGTATTGAACAGGGAAGAGAAAAGTGAGTCATATTGAAGATGATGATGACATGGCATTCATAGATATAATTGGAGAAGAAGATTCACTTGAAGACCCATTTAGTGATGGGATATGATTGCATTTTATATGTTTTTGGAACTTTGGAAGTTTTGTTGAACTAATATTTTGTGATTTTGTACTTTGGGACATGATTTTATTGCATTTACTTTCTTATTTTCTACTATTTTTATATATCATTTAGATGTTTTTATTGTAAGGTACAATATTGCTATTATTTTTATGCTAAAACCCTCAATTTTTCATTTACGCAATTCTATGTCCGTGAGGCTTACGCCTCATACCGCCTCGAGGCTTACACCTCGCCTCACGGACGAAAACCGCCTCGAGGCTTATTTACGCAATTTTAAACCTTGGATGAAATTATAGCCATTAAATTTGTGACCGGTGATTAAGTGAAAATTCTTATGTGGTGTGTCATTTGTATTGAGTGTCACACCTCGGGTCTGGAAGACCTCGAGTCTGGAAGACGATGAACCCCGACAATACGGGACGCGATGAAGGAATAAAAAGTCATGTTTTATACTCACAACAAGGAAAAATACATAAACCAATAATGCAATCAAATATACCAAAGTAAATAGGAAAAAAAAAAAAACTAAATATTCATTTCATTAATGTGACTTCAAATAACATTGCACCAAAGCAATATAACTACTACAAGAAAAATAAGTTTGAAAGAAACAATAACATGAATGAAATTGCCTAACCCTCAAAATCAAAATGTATAATAATCTGCTATAAAATATAAAATACTAAATATAGTCTGCTGCTGATAAATCCGCTTTTTAGGTGACGGTTCACTAAATATACCAGCAATATCTGCTATAAAGAGACAACAACAAGTGAGTTTGATAAATCAAACATAACAAGTAACTCTTATCTATCAAAGCATAAACGGTAAAGTAACAGGGCATGCAGCATAACCAATCAATAGGTTGGAGTGAAAATCAATGTGTCACTATAACAATGCAATATGTCATGATTCTTGCAACATATTGTAATATGCTAGTGTTAGAAATATATATGTCAAACTATTACAAATGCCAAATCCTTCTAATGCTTATAAATGCAACTACATTAGGTATTATCATATCTTAAAATAACTTATCAGTCATTCATGCTTTTAAGCCTAAATCTATTTATACTTACATATATCTATAGCCTGTCTGTCAAGTACCCATCACCGGGAAGATAAACACTAACCCCAAAAAATTAAATGATTTCGTATAGAGTCATCACTCAGTGGGACCTTCAGCCTGACTAGCCAATATTCAATAGGGTTATACCAACCTACATACCATTGCATACATGCACATAGTTTCCAAGCTTCTTTTATAAGCCCTTTTCAATCGGTATTATATTTCCAATATGATTATTTTTATTTTATAATAGAATATTATTTGCAAAGATGATGCTATGACATTTAATAGAAGTGCACGCAATAAAATAAGTCTATACAAGAAGTCAATATACAAAAATTTGAACATTCATACATTACAATAAACCTATCTATGCAACTTTATTCATTGTGAATATAAAAAGATCTTCACAAGTGTATAAGTATATAATAAAAAATTTCATACTAATGATAGGACTTACAATCCAAGTAATCATTAAAGTCCTAAAGCAAATAACACGGATTATGCCCAAACAAAGAAGAGTATGTTTATATCCAAATAAGTACAATTACTTAACATGATTGTCACAAAATCCAACCTCAATTGTGACTTGCTCGACTCCACCAAGCGGTGGTCCTGCAATGAGTGACTACAAATTATTATAAGTACGTTGCTCAAGACATCCAAATTAATCGATTTAAATTACACCACTACAACTAACAGATTTTATAAATAATGAATGGTAAAATTTGATATAACATAGGGTTTAATCTACTCAAATTAGAAGTGATAAATAACAATTTTTTCTACCTGCTAAAGCCCAACCAAAAGGAATTCAAAGTTATATTAAAATCAATACTAATTGAATCCAACTTTGCATTAGAAATGAAATAAACTCTTAATTAAATGATTTGAAACATAAGAAGAAGAAAGAGAGAAGAAAAGAGAAAAAAAAAGAGGGAAAGAAACTCACTATAAAAGGAACAGAGATTGAGAAACGTTCGCCAGTGGCTGATGTTGTGAGAAAGAAATGAAGGGGAAGGAGAAAGAAGGGTTTTGATGGTTACTGTAGTAGAGGAGGGAGGAAATTTGATGTCTTATATCTCCTATTTGCTTTAAATGCGAAAGGGAAGGTTCGAAGCTTGAAAAATCATGAGAGGCGGGCAAATTGCTTGATTTACGCGATTAGAGAGAGAGAGAGAGGGAAGAGAGCATGCCAAAGGGCAGCTGCTGCGTGCTGCTCGTGTGATCAGCTGGTTTGTTAAATGCGAAGAAGCGGAGGGGCTCAACTCGCTCTATTCATGGCGCGTGAGAGGGTGCTGAAGGTCGAGGCTTCGACTTAATCGTTTGCGCGAAACACCTGGACCGGCCAGTCCACGTCTGACTATTACATTGAGGATGGTGATTTTGTGAGTGAAGATAATGTTCCTCTCGGAGAATGAACTCCCTCAATCACTAATCTTGCATGAATTTTGAAAACATATGCAAATTTTCAATCCATATCCTGCTCTAATACCATGAAGAAATGTTGAAGATTTTTCCAAAAATATTTTTGTCTTAATGCCTATTCCAACCAACGGTTTGTTTGGGATGCCAACTTTTCGCAAAAGTGATTGTAAATCTGTCATAAAAAAACATAGCTCACCTTGGCCTTTTGGTCGGGAGCTTTGATTATCAATCTAAAGGTCTTGAGTTCGAGTCTTATGTATGTGATGTGTGTGTGAGTTTATCTTAATTGGCCTTAAAGTTCCAAAAACAAGGTTATAAGAAATAAATTTTTAGCATAAGAAACAATGAGAAAGCAGTAGTCAAATAGAATATTAACTGTGATTTGAAACGCAAAGCAGTAAGAAAGTCATACCAAACAGATCATAAATCTACTACCGACCAAAAAAGACAGATTTCTCCAATAGAAAAAGAAACTAACCTATTCTAATAGGATTTATTAGTAAGCAAACATTAGCATAGCATTGCATTGAAGAAAATAACAAACCAAGAAGCCTCTACAAAATACCAGGAAGCCTTCTCCAATGTTGCTTGCAGCTATACGTTTGCCACTGCTACAGCTGCACCAATCTGAACATAATCCTACTCAAAATAAAGCAGTAGTATTTGAATCAGGTGGATTTACATGCATACCACAGATCTTTTACATATTTGCATATGTAATACTAAAGCATTTTGTATTTACTCATTTACCACTTTAATGCCTCAATCACATCAAAACATATGCAAAAAATGTATATTTCATTGAATATTAGTGCATATTTTTATGTAATTACAAGATTCAGGTGTGAAACATGTAAATATATAAGAATTATGTGGTTCTTATGCAAAGCCCCCTTGAAATTATTACTGTAGAAAATGAGATACTTACAATGCAGTATATTATTTTTCCAAAGGTGATTGCAATTCTGGATAAATTAAAAGATGAGAGGGAGAATTCTGGAAGAAAAGATGAAGAAGAGGAATCAAAATCTTCTGGATTATCAGAACTGGATGAAGACTGGGGCAAAGATGACCCAGATGAAGGTATAATATATGTAAACTAATATGTTTCTGGCAAATATAAAGGGCTATTAGTGTGTAATTGTATTCATTTGATCATGTAAAGTGATTATTTTAGCTTATTCAAATTATTATTTGCAATTAGGGGTGCAAATAATTCGATTTTAGTCGAGTATCTGTCTAATCGAGTTGAGCTCGTTTATTTCTTACTGAGCTTGAGCTCATTTATTGGGCTTGAAGTTGGTAAAAAAATTTAGGGGTCAAGCTCGAATTTGACTCAATTGATGATTTCGATTTCTTTGTTTAGATTAATTTTTTTTAGTGTTTTTTACTTTAATTATAAAAAATAATTAAAAAAGGTTTAAATATGTTTTATAATGTTACTTTAAAATTAATTTTAAATATATTTTAAGATAATTGAAGAGTTTGACGAGCTTACAAGTTGAGTTGGGTTGAGCTCGAGCTCTAGCTTGTATAATATATGAACTCAAGCATCGACTCGAGCTCGAACTCGAACTCGTGGGTCGATAAGTTCTACTTGTGAGCTCATTAATAAGTCGAATTCGAGCAGATTTGTGAGCTAGCTTGATTCACTTACATCTTTAGTTGCAACATTTATTTTTGTTTGTAATTAAATTTATAATAAGCCAACTACTTGTATCTTATTACAATCTTGAAAGTTAAGAATGAATTGATCAATAATCAAATGATAAGGATCTAATAGATTAATCAAAGTCTTAATATTCTAATCAACCAGCCCAACAATCTTGATTAATCACTCAAATTAGGATTAAAGTTTTAATTAATTAATGACATTGTGTTAAAAAACACTCAAATCTATTCATAGATATGAATTGAATCCATGAAATTAATTAGTTAATTAAATTTGGAATTAATGATTCTTTGCTTGAAATTAATTATTTAATCAATCAATTAAGATTTTGTTTAGGATAATTTTCTTATTATTTTTAAAGCAGTTTTTTAGTAAAGAAAAATCATTGTTAAAAACTATCTCAAATGAAGTCCAATAATTAATTTTACTGAGTGGTCTAAATTTACTATTTAATTGAGCTTATGATTTAAATTAGGGTTGTTAAATTGAGTTGACGATTCGAATTCATATCAAATTTGAATCCATTCAATCTGAATCCAACTCGTTTTTAATAAACAGATAAGAAAGAACAATGCAAACCCCACCAACTGGTAACATGAAGAACCTAAAGTCAACCCTTTCTCATTTTGGTTAAATTTTTGTAACAACTTATTAACTTTAAAGTTTAGAATATTCTATAAAAAATAATAAGATTATACCTTTAAGAAAAAGATAAGAAAAAATGATAATAAATGAGTCTTTTTAAGGTTAAAGATTAATTTCGCAGGTTAATTAGAATTTGACCCATTTAATAAATGAATTTAAAACCTAACATAAATCTGACCCGTTTATTAAAATGATCAACTTGAACCTAAATTTTTTAGGTGATAGGACACGTGATTTGTAGGAGAAATTATTCTGTGCGGTCACTAGACAGCGTCCCGAGGCGAATCAAGAAGCGTCACGTTATTTTTTTGTTGTGTACTGATGCTATATACCGCTGTGTATCGAGTGACGTGGTGCATCCTGATTCGCCTCTGAACTAACTGGTGACCGCACAGAATAATTTCTCGATTATAGACACCTTTAAATTAGCTTGAATTTGACAAACATGCCCTTAGGATTCTAACCAAGCAAGCCCTTCTTATCAAATTGTTTCAAACAGGTTCGACTTGAAAATTACAGGTCACCCACACCGACCCGTTGACCCGAAACAGGGAAAGCATTTAGGGCAGCCAAAGCACATTCCAGTCGCAACCCCGCTTCTTTGCTTCCATCGTTGCGCCGCCACTCCGATGGGTAGAGTCATCCGAGCTCAGAGGAAGGGAGCAGGATCGGTTTTCAGATCCCACACACACCACCGTAAGGGCGCGGCTCGTTTCCGGAGCCTCGACTTCAGCGAGCGCAATGGCTACCTCAAGGGCGTGGTGACCGATATCATCCACGACCCCGGCCGCGGCGCTCCGCTTGCTCGCGTAACTTTCCGCCACCCGTTCCGGTACAAGCACCAGAAGGAGCTCTTCGTTGCCGCTGAAGGTATGTACACCGGCCAGTTCGTGTACTGCGGCCGTAAAGCCTCTCTCATGGTCGGCAATGTCCTGCCTCTCCGCTCTATCCCTGAGGGTGCAGTGGTATGTAACGTCGAGCACCACGTTGGTGATCGTGGTGTGCTTGCTAGGGCGTCAGGAGACTACGCCATCGTCATCAGCCATAATCCTGATAACGGCACTTCGAGGTCAGATCTGAACCATCCAATCGGATCTCTTTTATATATTTCTCTTTATATCAGTAATGAGCATAGTTTTAGGACTGCTTTTCCAAACCTCTTGGGAAATAATGGTAGATGAGCTCTTTTTTTTTTTTCCCGTTACGTTTGCTTAAAGAATTTAATTTGATGTTGTTATATTTTTTGTTTAAACTTTTGGCATTCTTGGTTGTTTTCTTTGGCCACTTGGATGGAATTGCCAATACAAAAAGCAGAGTATATGCTTGATTGTTTTGTTTAATATTTGTTTTTTACTAACTTGAGTAATCTTTTTGCTCTTTTGGGAGTTTATTGATGAAGTTTTTAAGTGTCTTAGACTTTTGATTGAAAGGCGGTTCAAGTGTATAAGGATTGCTGAAACTGTTACATTCTACAGGATATTCAAATTCAAGTCATCTTATGCAATTGCTTTCTTTTACTTATTTTCTTCAATGTGAAAATAGTTGACAAATATTTTTGGCTTTTATAAACACTCTTTGAATCTGCTATTTTGAAAAAAATGGAATGACTTTTTGCAATTTTGTTTGTCTTAAATGTTATCTCATATTTTTAGGTTGGTTGACTGGCAAAAGCGTAGTTTGATTAAATCAACAATCATTATGATTATTCTTACTTGTTGGGTTTGGCTTATGAATCCTTCTCATCCCCCATCCTTTTTTTGAGGTTTGCATGACTTATTAAAGCTATTTTGCACAACTTCTGTTCATTTTACTATTGATTTACCCTTGTTATTGTTGGTGCATCTTCTATCCTTCATCATTCAAGCATAAATCATTGAAGACTTCACTATCTTATTTTCAACAAGTGTTAATCTCTCCTCTTCAATATGATTCATAATTTTGTATTATATCATTCATAATTTTGCATTTTACTTGTAAATTTGGCTATTAGTAATTTTTTAGTTCTTAAGGCTCCATAAAGCATAATGCATTTAAACTTTGTTCTATAATATTCAATTTTAAATTTTCACCACAATGGATCTTTGTGATAGAAATCTTAATTTATCGTTGATATTAACATCAAATTTCTTATCCTAGCTATAGCTTCATTGTTTGACTCATGTTTGACTCCTTATTTTTATCATTAACTTAAATATTTCAATTATTTTTAAATACTTATATCGAAAGCCTTCTTCTCCATTCATTTGAGTTTTACTTACTTTCTAAGATTTTGTTGCAAATATTCTTATGGCTCTCTAAATCTTATTTAGTATCTTAGTTGAGCCCAAATTGTTGGCTTCAAGCACTTTTCCAAAGCTAAGTCAACCTCATTTTTCTTAGATCAGTTTAGATGTAAAAATTTTGAAAATTTGGAAAGATATAAAGTTTCCCATAAGGAGTCTAGGAAAGCATTCTACGATGCAAATACTTTAGCTTTTAATGATTTATATAATAGATTAGATACTAAAGAGGACGAAAGATATATGTATCAGCTAGCCAAACAAAGAGATAGGAGTTGTAAGAACTTAGTTCAAGTAAAGTGCATTAAGAATGAAGATCAATTTTTTTTTTTTAGAAGAGGATATTCAATAAAGGTGGATGAGATATTTTGCTAAGTTTTTCAATGAAGATTGTGATAATACGATTGACTTTAGTAATCTTAATACTCTAAATGAAAATAAAAACTTTTATTTATATCGGCGTATTACTAAAACTGAAGTTAGAAAGGCTTTAAAGAAAATGAAGTGTATGAAAACTGTTGGACTTGATGATATTCCGATAGAGGTGTGGAAATACTTAAGAGATGAACTATTTTTTTAGCTTACTAAACTTTTTAATATTATGTTGAAGACTAAAAAGATGCCAGATGTGTGGAGAATGAGTGTGTTGATTCCTATCTTTAAGAATAAAGAAGATGCACAAGATTGTGCAAATTATAGAGAAATTAAGTTGATGTGTCATACTTTAAAACTATGGGAGAGAGTTATGGAGCATAGGTTACAACATGATACTAATGTTTCTCAAAATCAATTTAGATTCATGCTGGGTAGGTCTATTATGGAAGCCATACACTTATTGAGAGGTTTGATGGAGAAGTATAGAGAGAAAAAGAAAGATCTTCATATGATATTTATTTATCTAGAGAAAACATATGAGAAGGTTGCAAGAGAAGTGCTATGGAGAGTTCTAAAAAAAGAAAGGGATTAATAATGCTTATATTCAAGTCATTAGGGATATGTATGTTGGAGTTGTTACTTTTGTTAAAACCCAAGGTGGTTTGACCAAGTATTTTCCAATTTTAGTTGGATTGCATCAAGGATCAGCCTTAAGCCCATATCTTTTTGCTTTAATCATGGATGTTCTTACTAGAGATTTGCAAGAGGATGTTACATGATGTATGTTTTTTGCTGTCGATATTCTTCTTGTTGATAAGACTAAAGAGGGAGTTGAAGGTAAACTTGAATTATGGAGGTCAACCTTAGATCCTAAAGATTATCATTTGAGTAGATCTAAAACTGAATATATGGAGTGTAATTTTAGTAGTAATAGTTCTAGTGGGGGGTTTGTGACTTTGAGCGATCAAGTCATTAATAAGAGTACTTGTTTTAGATATCTTAGGTCTATTATTCAGAGTGAGTGAAATAGATGGGGATATTATTAGTAGAATTCAAGTTGGATGGATGAAGGGAAGGAATGCATCGGGCTTGTTGTGTGATAGAAAAGTACCAATCAAACTTAATTGAAAATTCCATAAGATGGTGGTTAGACCTGCAATGCTTTATGGCGCAGAATGTTGGCCATTAAAAGAGAAGCATAATAGTAAGTTTAAGTGTTGCAAAGATGAGGATGCTCAGGTGGATGAGTGGCTTTATTCTTAAAGATAGGATACAAAATGAGCATATGTGTGAATGGTTGGAGTAGCTCCAGCGGTAGATAAGATTAGAGAGAGTCGCCTTTGATGGTTTGGTCACATATAATGGTGTCCTTCTAATGCCTGGTTAGGAGAGTATATGTTTTAGATTTAAAGGTAGAGGTAGACCTAAAAAAGACTTGGTTATAAATATTAGAAATGACCTTTCTTTATTAGATCTAAATGAGAATTTGACTTTTAATCGGATACAATGGAGTAAAAGGATTCATGTAGCTGACCCACGTAGTTGGATAAAGGCTTGATGTTGTTGTTGTTATTGTTGTTGTCTATAGTTTATGCGAGTCAATAAATGGTTATTTAATGTTTTCGTGATTATTGTAAGACTGTTGCAAGAAAAGATGTAATATTTCTCCGTATATGAATTGTCTATCACTTTTGCAAGAATGTTTATTAAAATATTATATATTTATGCTAACTTAATAATTGTAACTGACCATGTAATGATTGAAGAAGTTACAAATCAGAAGCTGGGGAGTTACAAACGAGTTTGAAAGTTGGAAATTTTGAGGAAATGAGCCATAAATTAAAGTGCTAGAGTTACAAAAGAATTTGGGAGTCACATAACTTGAGGAAGAGAGTTACAAATCAAGAGCTAGGAATTTACCAAAGAGTTTGGTAGTTTGAAAATCTGGAGGAATGAAGTTATAAATCAAAAGCGTAGGGGTGTTACAAAAGAGTGTTAAAGTTATATCAAGAGTTGGGGAGTTATAAAAGAGTTTGGGAGTTAGTTAAATATTGAAAGAGGAGAGTTACAACTCTGAAGTTTGGGAGTTACAAAATTGAAGATGGGCAAAATTGAAGATGGGAGCTATTCTCACTCTCTACCATGAAGAGCTAACATTATGTGGCCCAACCCCTTTTTAAATTTTCATTAATGTTATAAATCTTTTGTGCTTATTTAAAACCCATGTAATGTTTGCAAATTATATGATGATATGGAATATGAGCCTCTTTTTGAGATATTGGGATTAACTTGCTGGTAATTATTTGGCTTCATATGCATGCATTTATTCTCTCTTTTTTCATACTCACATTGATAACATGCATGAAATGAAAGAGAAAATAATATGACCATGTGAAAATAGAAGGATGAAGAATGGAAGGCATTAATATATCTAAATTGATGGCTTCCACTGTATGTATTGCATAATCAGAATATCTTTATTATTATTATTTTTGTATGCTCATGTAGTACTCAATTTTTCCTTTATTTTCATGTGGTCATATTATTTCTTTTTCATGTCATGTATTTATATTATCATTATGAGTATGACAATGGAGAACAAATGTATCTATATGAAAACAAATTATCACCACCAAGCTACTCCCAATTAGGGGCATGCATCCGGTCAGTTTGCATGGATTGGTTGGTGAATTTGGCAATTAGTTGATTTTGGATCTAAAATTTTGACAGTGGAACCAATCAAACTATTGTCAAAATTGAATCACAAAGTGGTTCAAATTCAGTTCGGTTTTGGTTTAAATCAAAATTTAGTATGTGAAAACTAAATGTGATTTGGTGTGTTTTTAAGTAGCTCGCTTCTTTTTCTTTTGTATTGTAACCAACCAAAATGTACTATGAAAGGAACTTAACTTGCAATAACCAACAAGTGATGAGTTATGAGGGAAATTTTCAAGTAAAATACTATTTCTAATAAACATAAGAACAAATAGCTTTCTCATATGAGAACTGATAGAAACACTTGGTTAACTTTTCAATTTTAGGTAAACGAGGGTAATAAATTGGGATTCCCAAACCATAAGAGAGAAAGAGGGAGAAGGTGGAGAGAGGGTAACATATATCGTGGATTAACTTTTCACTTTTAGGCTTTTGGAAAGGAAGAAAGTAAGAACTATGTAATTAGTATTAGTAATTACACAATTAAGCCTACTTAGCCTGCTAGTTGCTTCTCCTACATGCCGAAACAAAATGGAGGCTCGCCTTTTATTTACTATTATCTATATTGTTTGGGTATTCAGTTTTACTTATTTTACTATAAACAGAATTGATCTAATAACTGTAAACCAAATAGTTTAAAAATATGAACTAATATTTATTAAACCAAACCAAAACACTCAAATATGTTCTGTTCAATTTGGTTTATTTGTTTTAATCAAATAAAGTATAACTAATATCTCACAAAGAGACTCACACGTTCATATCATCCTATCATTTGTAAATATAACATGGGTTTAAATAATCATCACTCAACTTGCAACATTAAAGATAAACTAAAAAAAAAAAGATGGCCAAACACATTATGATATCTCTTCATGATGGAGATTTAGTGTAGCTCTTATCTTCAAATTCTGTAACTTCTAAGCTCATGATTTGGAACTCGCCTTCTCCAATATTTTAACTTATAACTCTTTTGTAGCTATCGAAATTTTGATTTTAATATAATTTTTCAGGCTTTATTGCTCTCAATTTCTTTTGTATGTCCCTAGCTCTTGATTTGTAACTTCATTCCCCTAGGACTCCAAAAAATCTTTTGTAACTCTTAAGATTTTGATTTATAACTCGTGTCCTTAAAGTTTTGTGGCTCCCAAATTATTATTTTTACTGCATAGTACTTGATTTGTAACTCCCTTCCTCCAAACTTTGTAACCCTTAAACACTTTTGTTACTCCTTTGCTCTTGATTTGTCCAATTATTACATGGTTGTCCATCATCATCTAGTATGAATAAAAATGTAACATTTACATTAAAATCTATATAAAGGTAATTAATTAATATTATGTGGAATTTCATATTTTTTATCATAATCTTATAAGGATATCCCGAACATTAAAATTATCTTTATTGTCCTACATCAATGATTTTGTTCAATATTCTTTTCTAAATTTTTTCATAAACCTCTTATTTAATAGTTTCTTAAAATACTAATTTAAATTTATGATATAAATTATTATTTAACTAAGATTTTATGGTCATCATAGGTGATGCATTTAACCTATTAGATTTCTCACCTTTGTTCTTGAATACATTTCCTTTTCTCTTACTTTTATGTGTAGCCTATAGTATAAATTATTAAAATTTATAGTTTTTATTTCCTTTATATCCTTTTTTGCATGACTTTGAACTTCCTTGTAATGATTATAATACTTAATATATTTATTATTTACTACATCTGATTACATACTTCCTTGTAATGTCTATTTATTTATTTACTTCATTTTGTCATTTTAGGAGTGTGAACTTTCCCTTTCCCTCTTTGGAAGAACTTAGTTCTGCTTTATGATGATCTGCAAATCTATCTGGGTTTAGAATGATAATAGAAAGAATTTCATTGAAATATATAGAACTTAGTGATAGGTTGGTAGGTCTAGTAAGTCCCCAATCGCCGGCGATGCTTTCTAGAGATCCTTAATGTTGCTACTTATTTTACTTGTGTAGTTTAATTTCTAATTAACCTTTACTTCAAGAATAAAATGAATCATCGGTTTCTAAAAAATAGTTTATGCTGATTACTTTTTATCATGAACATTTTCATGTCAATGAGCTTTCCTTTTTGCTTCCTTCTTCACCCCAAATATTGGTGGGAGGCCTGTTAACCGTCAAAGTCACCATCCTTTTAAGTCTGTTGTGCAAAGGATCCAAGATACACACGTGGAAAATTGTGCTCGGGGAGATGTGTGTTTCAAGGTTCTTGGCCTTTGCTATTATAAGATTGGCAAAAGGAAAGTTCAAGCTTGATAGTGTTCGTGCAAACGATAGGCCTATGGAGTACCTTTAAGAAATATAATTTTTATTTATTAAATTGAGAGACTACATGAAACTTATTGTTAAACTCGTTTTTAAATGCAAATTCTTAGTCATCGTTGTCAACCCTTCTTTAAAATCCAAATTGAGGCATATTTGGGCTAATTGAAGTCAAGTTGATCAAATAAATAAAATTGAACAACGTCGACTTGATTGGACTTGATTCGAGTTCGATTTGATTTCAGCATCGTTGTTGATCATTAAATTGAGTCGAGCTAAGCCGGAATTAAGCAAAACTAATTTGATTTTAATGAAATATATTCAATTGAACATTGTCGAGTCAATTCGACTTGAACCGAATACAATTTAAAGCTCAACAATTTCAATCGACTTATGTTAACTATTTTTGAGTTAAATCGACTTTAATTAATGCAAACCAGCTGAAGCCATTTAATCCAAATGTCATTTGACTTATTTAGTTCAGATTTTCTTTAGCCAATTTAACTCTCAAATATTCCTCAAGCTATAAATTATCTCAGCCCTTGGATGGAATCAAGAATGAGGGGTACGATGGTAATTCTTCCTCCTTAGATGCTTCTAGGTTATAAGAAGTGAAGAGGATTATTTTTGGGGGATTCTATTCGTTCCATTCATACTTGTGTGACTTCATTCGAGTTAAAACCAGAGGGAGATGGATGCAGAGCGGGCGTGAGCGGGGACATTCACGTGCAATCCATTGAGCAAACCTATGAGAATATTAAATGGCAATATTCGATTCTGATTTTTTTTTCGTTGTTTATGTGAGGTTCTTTTACACAACTTAGTCTAATTTCAAGTATAATTCTAAACTTCTAGGTATTAATGGAACTAGTAGTTACCTGCTTTGAACTTGAGATTCCTAGTTGTAATTTATTCCACTACTTTCAGTATTTGTGGGGTTGTTTAGAATATTAAGTGGTAATATCCGACCTCTCTGAGCAAGCATTCTTAAAACTGTATGTAGAATCAGACTTTTTGGTGGCATGTCCAATTATATACTAGTTTCTATTCTTATTATGATATGAGCTATGACCAAGTAGTTAGGATATTTGCTCTTCCCACAGGCACCACTTGCATGAGTTCAAGTGCACTAACTTAACAGTAACCTTACTAATATTTGCACTTATGTGCTCATCATTCCAAATTAAAAAAAAAAATCTGCAAATAAAAGTTTGAATATCTGACGTGGTGGGTTGAATTAAGTAGTAAATGATTTTCATAGGCATCCTTTTTTTTTTCTTTATATGGATGTTTAGATATAATTGCAAATATAAATATAGATTAGTCTCGTGTACTGGCTCTTTTTCATCCCCTTTTGGCCTTTGAGATCAAAGAACTTTATGGATTCACAGTTGAATGAAAATTATCCTACAGAATTAAGCTCCCATCTGGTGCAAAGAAGATTGTTCCAAGTGGTTGCCGTGCCATGATCGGGCAGGTCGCAGGTGGTGGTAGAACTGAGAAGCCTCTCCTCAAAGCTGGCAATGCCTACCACAAGTATAGGGTGAAGAGGAATTGCTGGCCGAAGGTCCGAGGTGTCGCCATGAATCCTGTGGAGCATCCCCATGGAGGAGGAAACCATCAGCATATTGGCCATGCCTCGACAGTTCGGCGAGATGCTCCTCCCGGCCAGAAGGTTGGTCTCATTGCTGCCAGGAGAACTGGTCGCCTCAGGGGACAGGCTGCCGCTACTGCTGCCAAGTCAGAGAAGGGTTCTTAGATTGCCAGGTTTTTTTCTGGACCTTTTCTTCATCTTTTTATTGCAAGTGGATATTATTTTGCTCAAAATATTTATAAGACTTGAAAGTTTTGTAGTTCTTCTGTTGAAAAACTTTGGAGATCTCTGTATCTCTCTGTGTTGTTTGAACTTGTTTGTCAAACTAGTGTTATTGCCATGTCTTTGTTTCAGAAATCAAATTTGTTTTGAAATGGTATGTTTGCGTTTGAAAAATATGGTGGAAGAACTGCAAGCGTGGTTAGGTATTTTTTGGTTGGTTTGATTGTGTGAAACTGAGACTTAGCATATTTATTTAAATTAAAACTATATGAAGATATATATGTAGCCAAAAAGATTAAAAAAAAAAGCCAAAAAGATTAGGGAAGCAAAACAATCAAGTTTAGATTCTAGGTATGGCCTCAAGGGCTAGAACAATGTAAACCAGCCCATGATGCAACTTAGATTTCATTTGGGATGACTTTCTTACTGCTTCTTAAAGCAACTTTTTAGTATAAATTTTTTAATTTTTGTACTAAAAAATTACTTTACGAAGCAGTAAGAAAGCCGTCCCAAACAAACCTTAGGCTTCGGTTGAGACAGCTTTCTTAATGCTTTTAAAAGTAGATTAAAAAAAAAGTGTACTAAAATCTGCTTTAAAAAATATTAGGAAAATCATCCCAAACGTAACCTTAGGGCTGCAAACGAACCGAGCCGAGTCTAGTATGTGAGTGTTCATGTTTGTGCTCATTTAATATCAGCTTGTTCAAGTTTGATTCATGTTTGTTCGAGCTTTAGCGTTTGTGTTCATGTTTGGTTCATTTAAATTAAGGAGTGTTCATGTTCGGTTCATGTTCGTTCGTTTAGTGTTTATCGAGCTTGTTCGCGAACATATTTAATGAATTTTTTTAACTATCAAACAAACACATTCATAAACATATCTATGAACAAACACATTTATAATAAAAGCAATTGTCTATGTAACAAAGGTAATGATTATTTATATTTATTAATTCTATAGTCAAATATTAATTATTTTTATCGAGCTTATTCACGAGTTCAAAATCGAACACGAAACGAGCTTTTATCGATCTTCTTATCTAGCTTAATGTCGAGTTTGTTCACGAACTTCAAATGATGTTGTTCGCGAACATAAATGAGCTGAAGTAGGCCGAACACATTAGTGTTCAAGTTTGTTTATTTAAGAATCAAGTATTTAAAATATTGTTCAAGTTTGTTTGTTTAGTTAATTAAACCATCGCAAATGAGCTTTAATCGAACCAAACAACGAGTAGCTCGTCGAATGTTTGGTTCGCTTGCAGTCCTACGTAACCTTAGTATACTAGAACTAGATAGTCAACATGCCACTTGGATTAAATAAGAAACTATCAAATGATTGTATCTCACAAATTATCAATAAGTCTCTTGTGTATTTGACACCAACGCCACCCTTGACATGTTACCAAATTTACCAATGGATATATATTGTTAGTGAAGGATTTAGGGTTTAGGGGGTTGAATATAAAGTGAGCAAAAGGAAATATGGGTTAGTTCTTTAAGAGTAAAGTTATATGAGGAGCATGGAGGTTCACATTCTATATCCCTAGCTGACAGAATTTTTTCATCTTGAACTTGCTAAGACTATCTCCAATCGAACTTCATACCATCATATGTTATACGTCATTTGCTCCATTCGAACTCCAAATCGTACGCCAAATTTCAGTAGGTGATTAGTGCGAAGCCAATATTGGTGTCGGACTGTTCACCTACGTCAAAAAATTCACTGTGGGATTTGCCGAAGAAGCGTGCAAAAGAGGAGAAAAGCATGCCAAATATGATTACCTTCACAGGAAGCGCAAGCAAGAAGAAGAAATGACGTTCGATTGGAAAAGAAATGACTGCATTTTGGAGTGAAAAATGGGTTTTTCAGTTGGAGATGTCCTAAGACAGACATGCCAAACAAATATAACAAAAGCGAAATTCCTTATCGAGTAAGTTCTAACTGAACTTTGAACCAACTGAACTTTTGCTAGAAAACCCATCATAATTGGGGATTAGAGTCTCCCTGATGACCCAAATAGAGGATGAGAGTAGTCTAAGAAGTCCTACATTGAAGTCTAAGATGTTGAGGGGCTATTCATCTGAGTAAACAATTGAACTGATGAGAGGATGCTGAATTGATTGGAACCTCTATTAATCATCAATCAGGAGTTCATGATTCTCTTATCAAAATCTCTTCTCCTTTAGATTGGTTTTAGTAGAAGATGACAATTTCATTTGATTCCAAATGGCAAGTAATGAAATTTTGGTGTCTTTTTATTTGAATGATCTTCACTAAAAGGTTAGCTAATCTTAGTTAAAAAAATGTTTTTTTGTTAGGAACTGATATTAATGTAAGTATATATTTGGATGCATTATTGAGGGCTTAACCAAACAAGTTTAATTTGTTTCACATGAATCTCTTGTTGAATAAGCCCATGATGACTCAATCATCCCTTAAATGTTTATACACAAATTGATGAATGAAGCTTTTACATATTAGAAACTATGGAAGTGTAGCTTGAGCTTACTCCAACCTTATTTTGCTTGAATCAATATTTCTTATGCCAACTATTCAATTGGAATTGATCCATAGAAATTGACATTTTTGTCATCTCTCTCTCTCTCTCTCTCTCTCTCTCTCTCTCTCTCCCTCTCTCTCTCTCTCTCTCTCCCTCCCTCTTCCTCTCCCTCTCCCTCTCTCTCCCTCCCTTTTCCTTTGGCTTTGCTTGTGGTCCTTCTCTCTCATCATTCTTTGTTATGTTAAAAAACCCTCTTCAAAGTAGGTTGAAATCCAACACTAATCTCAAGCTTAACTAGGCTTCCTTAATGAAGAAATATTCATATGACATAAATATATCTATCATGAGTTAAACATCTAAAAAATAAGAGATTGACACATAATGCTTGAAGTTAAAGTCAAATGTTTGATATGAACTATAGCTTCATAAGAGTGTGCCCAATGAATGAGTCTAAGAGTCTCTTTAGAAGTAGGGGTGTCAAATTGGATTGATGAGTTGGGTTCAGATCTAATCCAAAATTGGCCCAACCCCAATCCTATGGATTGGACTCAGATTGAGTCGGTTTGTGTCAAATATTTAACCTGCATAATAAATGGATTGGATTCAGATCAAGCATAACTGAATTAGGTCAACTTCAAGCTAGACTCAAATTTGATTCTCCAACTCGTATTATTGACGCATTAATGAGGTATTGGATGCCCATGGCTTAGTGCTCCATCCTAATGGTGCAATGCATCATGTCCTACAAGATATTGAATGATTCAATGCCCATAATAAATCAGCTTTTATTGATTCCAACACTTAAGTTACTTCTTTTAATATTATTTTTTGTTTTCCTTAGAACATGATGAGGCTTCATAAGGTATATTGAAAAATCTCTCTCTCTCTTTCTCTAAAATGGTCTTTGCTACCTTACATCTAATCCTAAAGACCAAATTCAAACCTCTCCCAAAATATGAACAGGGTGTCATGACATGTTTTTCATTGGAAAAATTTAAAGCCATGAAAAAGACATTATTTATTTATTTCTAACAAAATTAATTATTCTCCAAAGCTCTCATATTTAATATAAACATCATTATAATTTATTATTATTATTATTTAAATTCAGAGCAAATGCTTTGAAAATTTAATATTTTCTCTTCAAAATTGTTACAAATATTTATTTTCATATAATTATGTTCTAATCAACCATGTGATTTAACCTTTTAAATAAATAATAAGAAATTGATCATATATTTTAATCAAAATTTGATCCTAATAAATTTAAATTTATAATTTTTTTTGATATAATTATATATATATTATATTGATATACTTTTTTAAATAATTTTTTTATTTATCATAATTTTAAAGAAAGGAATTATTGAGAGATATCTACCTCCCTCATATGAACAAAACATTACAAGCAGAGCAAATTTTTCAAGAATAAATTATATCAAAATATTTTAAAATAATTTAGTTTAGATAAAAAAAACAAAACATTTAGTTTTATTATACAATTAATATTAAAAATATATAGAAATTTTTAATGAGGAAAAATAACTGATAATATTTAAATATCTTATCATTTTAATACAACTTTAAAAAAAAAATTGTTTATTTTTTTTTTTTCTAATGAGTGCTCAACCCAAACAACATTTAATTATTTACAAAAATACCGCCAACAATAAATCTAATTAATTAAAACAGCATAACTGTTCACGACTCTTCGTTCTTTGAATGTTTGCAATATTTATTTATTACTTGTAAATAATTAATTCAATAAAATAAATTTTATTTCATTAAAAAAAAAAAAAATTGCAAGGTCAAGCAAGCTAGCTGGAATGCGTGTCAATCAATCCAGCAGAAATCTGATAATAAATAAATAAATATTTGAACTAACTTGCTAAAATTCGAAAATAAATAAATAATTGGACTAATTTGCTAAAATTCAAAGATTCAGTTGTGCTTTCAATTCTTTGTTTGGTTTGAAGGAATTGAAATTAAAAAAAAAAAAGGAAAAAGCTAAAATTTTGAATTGAAATTAATTTTTTAGATATTTATTTAATTTGATGAAATTGGGTTATTTTTTCATTTTTAATGAAAAATTAAGGTTGTTTGTGCTTTTTTATTTTTTTATTTCTTTATTTTGAAATAAAATAAATTATTAAAAAAATCTTAAAAGTAACTTTCAATTATTATTTTTTTAAATAAAAATCACCTCCATCACCGTTCACTACTGCTGATTATCGCCGCTATCATGTCGCCCTATCATCGCCCACAAGATTTAACACAAACAAAAAATAATACTTCTTAGATATAAAATATGCATTTACCTTATATAAAATATAGTCAAAATAAATAAAAATTGTTAAAATAAAAAGTGTTACCAAATAGCCCCTAAGAAATATGATTTATAATTTCTCACTTGCATCTAACCAAATGATTCATATATGTTATAATACCAAAAAATATAAAGATAGTATTTTAAATTATTAGAATTCACAAAGTTTGAAGTTCAAAAAATCATATACTAGGGTGAAATTATTCTGTGCCGACACTGAACGGTCCATAGATCAATCAGAACACATCACATCAACCGGTATCGAGCACCGATGCCGAACAAAAAATTAACGTGACGCGTTCTGATTAATCTCTAGACGCCCGACCGTTGTTGGAGAATATCCACACAATTGAATGAATGGATGTTTAAGTTGCCCTAATTATATGACAATTATTACGTCCTCCGACCGGACGCAGAGGAACGTCCGGTCGGAGGCCAAATCCCGCCAAAAAACGAGTTGTACTGAGCAAATACCGAGCAATACCAAACAATAACGAGGAATACCATCATTTGAAGACCCAACACCGAGTTATACCGAGCTAAATCGAGAAATATCGAGTTATACAAAAGTTATACCTAGTTTTTCCTAGAAAAACTCGGTACAACTCGGTATTTCTCGGTACAGCTTGGTATAGCTCGGTATTGGTCTTCAAAGAGCGGTATTTCTCGTTAATATCAAATAATACCTAATTGTACCAAGCAAATACCGAGTTTTTTGGCGGGATTTTGACTCCAACCGGACGTTCCTCTAAGTCCTTACACCGGACGTAATAAAAGTTCCTAATTATACAATTTGATATTGTGGGTTCATTCCTCTCTCCTCCCCTTCTTCTCCTCAAGTCAACCATTTCCTCCCCACCTTCTCTTCCCAACCAAGCTCCCATTGAAAACGACTAAAGAACTCCCAACATAACCCTACGTAGAAAAAGAGGAGAGCCAGCTTCCTCCTCTTCTCCATTCTCTCTTCCTTTCCTTCTCCAATAGCCAAAAAATCTCACCTTGGCAATTGTTTCTTCACCCTCTAGCCTCACATGAACCATCCTCTCCATTCAACCCTCTGATTCCGGCCAAAGATGTCTGCCGGAAACCACTGGGGCGGGTCTCTGGAGATCCACGGCGACGAAGCCACCGATGACGAGCAAAGCCGGAACCTTGACCTTGATCCCCGGGCGGTCAACCGCCGGCAATTTCTCGACGAGACGCAGCAGAGCTGGCTCTTGGGGCCACAGGTCGCTAAGAAGAGAAAGAATGAGTATATTGACTTGGGCTGCTTTGTTTGCAAGCGCAAGCTGCTGTGGTGGGTATTGGGAACTCTGTTCGTCGGCTTCGTCGTCATCGGAGTTCCTATAATTATAGCTAAATCCCTGCCGAAGCACAAGGCAAGTCCGCCGCCTCCGGATGAGTATTCCAAGGCGTTGCATAAGGCTTTGCTGTTTTTCAATGCGCAGAAATGTAAGAACTTTGTTCTGTTCCTCTCTGTTTCATACTTAGCAAGGTTGAATTTTTTTTCCTTTTGCTCTGTTCCTCTGTGTTTACAATAAGTCTGGCCGATTTGACTGTTTAAGGCAGCCATTCACAAATTTTCAATCTTTTTTTAATAATGAGATCTATGACAGTGTAACAGTTGTAAAAAAATCTTCTTTTTATCGCAATAACTCTGCATCTTCTTTGACAAATGATTGTTGAGCAACAGCTGGGCGATTACCGAAGAACAATGGGATACCATGGCGAGGGGACTCAGGGCTCAACGATGGAGTGAACCAGACGGACCTCAACCATGGATTGGTAGGAGGATACTACGATGCAGGAGACAATATAAAGTTTCATTTTCCATTGGCTTTCTCCATGTCTCTGTTGAGCTGGTCTGTCGTGGAGTACAGCAGCAAATACAAAGCTCTGGGCGAATATGATCATATCAGAGATATCATCAAATGGGGAACTGATTATCTTCTCCTCACCTTCAATTCTTCTGCAACAAAGATTGATAAGATTTATGCACAGGTTTGATCCGAACTACGAAACACATTAAATTGGTCTCAAACAAACCCTAAGCAAAATCTTGAATCTTGATCAGGTGGGCGTTGCGAAGAACGGGTCGACAGCTCCCGACGACCACTTCTGCTGGCAACGGCCGGAAGACATGTCCTACCCCCGCCCAATCATCTCCGTCACCTCCGCCCCGGACCTCGCCGGCGAAATCTCCGCGGCCCTCGCCTCCGCCTCCATCGTCTTCCGCGACAACCCTTCCTACTCCTCCCGCCTCCTCCGCGCCGCCTCCACCGCCTACAGCTTCGCCCGCAGCAGCTCCCGCCGCACCCCCTACTCCCGCTCCAACCCCGAAATCGCCAACTTCTACAACTCCACCGGATACTGGGACGAGTACATGTGGAGCGCCGCCTGGATGTACTACGCCACCGGCAATTCAAGCTTCGCAAACTTCGCCACGGATCCGCGGCTGCCGAAGAACGCGCATGCGTTTGCGAGCGTGGCGGATCTCGGCGTTTTGAGTTGGGACAATAAGCTGCCGGCGGCGATGCTGCTCTGGACGAGGCTGAGGGTTTTTCTGAATCCGGGCTATCCGTTCGAGGAGTCGTTGAGGGGGTATTTTAATGCGACGGGGCTTACTATGTGCGCTAATCTTAGAAGGTTCAATGTCTTCAATTGGACAAAAGGTATGTAAATTCAATATATATATATATATATATATA